AGTATCTATAGGCCTTTTTACCCTGGAAACAAATTTCTCAAGTGGGCCAACCCCATCCCTGTTCTCCAAAGCTAGGCAGGAGAAGGAAAAAACAGGGGACGCTATTTGCTCAGAGCTGAGGATGCTAGAAATGGGGGAGGACCCTGTCAGTGATGGGGAGAGAACAGGCATTCCGCTCCCCCAGTTTCCAAGCCTTCAAAGAGACCAGTGATTTGATTTATATCCAGTGCTTTATTAAACATAGTCTCATCACAGGACAAAGACACGTGTCCCCACGCCAACAGAGAGTATACGGATGTGTGTTTATGAGAAAGAAATGTGCGAGGTCCCTGATCTGTGCTCTGAGGGGTGGTCAGTCAGGCGGGGCCCGGGCCAACCAGTAAGGCAGATGAGGGTCTCTGTTCTGGGGGACTCACTGCTCCTGGGTGCCCCAGGAGATGTAGTCTGGCCGCGTGGCTGCATGGTACTCATCGATGAGCTGCTGCACAATCTCCCTGGATGTGTCCAGCTCGTCAAAGTTCTCCTTGAAGATGTCCTCCTTTCGGAACTGCTCCAGGAAGGCCTCCCGCTTCCGCAGCTTGTCGTACTGGCGACAGGTCCTCTCAAAGAGCTTGAGGTGTGCAGAAGGCAGGGGGTCAAAAAGAACTTTGAGAAACAATATGGCCCAGACAGCCAGGGAACCACGGCTGGGCTATCTTCACAGTAAAAGAGCCGGAAGCAGAGCAGCAGGGATGCAGAGAGGTGAGCACAACCAGGAAAATGATTATGGGGAAATAGGTGCAAAATGTGAAACTCACCGAGGAGATGCTGGTGTGGTTGGCCATCATGAGCCCACTGACCCGGTGGGCAGAGGGCAGGTAGGGAGACTTCCTGGACAGGGCCACTTGGATGCTGGCTGGGCCCCAGGGGATGAAGTTGGCCAGCTTCCGTTCCCGGATCCTCTGCAGGCTCTTGTGGACCTGGGGTGGGCACAGGGGTGGTGGTGGTCGCCTCTCCTCTACCCCTGCAGGGTCCAGGGTGGAACGAAGGGGCCTCACCTACCTGAGTGGGATCCACCTCCCCCTGGATGATGTTGAGGATGGCGATGTAGCAGTGGTTGGTCTGCCGGTCCCGGCCGGTGGACACCATCACGTTCTTGGGCTGCAGCAGCCGCCTCATCACATCCAGGACCGTGGTCTTCCTCACACTGGCCACCTGAGGGGACAGTGGGCCCCAGGGACCAGGCCAGCACTCAGGGCACAGTCCACAGATGCACGGACAGAGAAGAGTAGGCAACACATGGCCCCCACCAGACTGGGGGCAGTATGGCCTCCTTGGGGAGTGTCTTTAGATTCAGGCCTATTCTGAGCCTCTGCTGTGGGATCAGGAATCTTATCCTCCTCAGCTCAGCAAGCTCATGGCCCTGTGCAGGAGCATAAGCAGCTCCCATACAGCCCAGACCCTGCAGGGAGCCAAAGGCAAGGCAGAGAGGAGAGCAAGTCAGCAAGGAAGTCTTACAGTCTGTGCCAGTCCCTGAGCACAGAGCCTCCTGGGGCAGCAGGGAGGAGAGAGAGGCTAGGTTAGAGGTTTCTGGGCCCAGGGCCAGTGGGGCCTGAGACACCGAGGGCTGTTCTTACCGACTGGTCCGTGGTGAGGGGGGTGTAACCAGTCATGAGGAAGTGGAGCCGGGGCGTGGGAATGAGTGAGGCGATGAGGCCGATGAGGTCGTTGTTCATGTAGCCAGGGTAGCGCAGGGTGGTGGTGCTGGCTGACATGATGGTGGACACCTGGGGACAGGGATGCCACATCATGGGTCTTGGCCTGGTTGGGGGGGGGTGCTCCCTTCCCCAGACAAGTGTTCCAGTAGGAAGGGGTTCCAGTCCAAGAGTCCAGGAGTGATGGCTCACCAGCTGGTTGATCTGGGAGAAGGATGGGTTCTGGATGTGCAGGCGGTCTGTGGCGATCCGGTTCAGGGCAGTGTTGTCCAGCACCACCTGGGGGGACAGAAGAGGGTGGCAGAATTTGGGGATTAGAAAGAACAGGAGCTCGGCCTGAGCCTGGGCTCTGAAGCTTCATTTCTCTTGAGCCTCAAAGCCAGAAAGACTCATTGAAAAGGGACTTGCACAGGACTGGAGTCCAGGAGGCCTTAGAATGGAATTTTTAAATGCATGAAAATGATGAAACAGGCAGGGGGGGTTGGGAGTAGGGAAAGGCAGGATCCAGGACTCACCACACAGTCTGCGTTCTGGGTCAGCCTCTTGAGTGTGAGCAACGAGTTGTAGGGCTGGACCACCACGTCGCTCATCTCGTCCTGGTTGGGAAACACTGAGTATGTCTGCACCAGCTTCTTGGGGTACCTGGTGCGGGTTGGGAGAAGAGGGTCAGGGCAACAGACTGTAGGCTGGGTAAACACGGGACTTCCCACAACTGTCTGGAAGAAGCTAAATCTGGACGGGGAGAATAGTAGGGGCTGCAGAACCAGTAGAGAAGGAGGACCTGACTTTGGAAGTCTGTAACTTTCCCAAAGGGCAGGGAGACATGTTAGGACCTAGGGTTCCAACTCCAAACTGTCCAAACTTCCTAAACCTTCATCTCTTCATCGAGGGTCTGAATTCTAGGCTCTGGTTCCAAGCCCCGGGAGTGGATTGGTTCTCATCATTGTATCTTAGCTTTCCTCACTACAGGAGGAACTAGAAGGTCCCTTTCCTGCTCCAGTGAATAGGAAGGTATATGTGAAGGGACTCCCAGTTATTTGGAAAACCAAGTCCTCCCAGCCCCTCAAAACACAGACGTACCTGTCATTCAGCCGTTCTAAGAGGTAGGAGCCCAGGCCAGAGCCTGTCCCCCCGGCGATGGAGTGACACAGCACAAAGCCCTACACGGGAGAGGGGTGGTCAGCGTCCAGGATTCTGGCAGAATTTCAAACTGAACCCATGCCACAATTTCTGACTCCTATTTTTCTGAGCCCTCTCCTTCCACTTCCCTCCCCCCACAATAGAGCTTAGGAGACTCTGCCTTTATTTCCTGGGAGGTCTGGTGGCTTCTGTCCAGTGCAAAGGGCCTGGTACCTAGCAGGTGGCTTCTAAAGGGTGTTACTAAGCTTTCCCTATGTCACTTCCCACCAGCATTCCCGAGACACTTACCTCCAGACTGTCACTGCCATCTGCCTCCCGGTCTATGATGTCAAAAATGTCCTCGTGGATTTTCTCTCCCTGTATAGACATGGGAGGGTCAGAGTGGCAGGACCATGAGACAAAGACTCTGACATCAGAACTGCCTCCCTTACTTCTCCTTATAGCACCTACACGTCCTGTTTTGGAGCACAGTGGCCCTGCTTTTTTTATTTGCACTGAGAGGTTAGGAGCAGGCACTCTATATCCAGACTACCTAGGTTCATATATTAGGTCTAGTTCTATTTAGCCGAGTGACTCCGGGCAGATTACCTAACCTTTCTACACCTGTCTCATCTGTATAATGAGGGTAATAATACAGGTCCATAAAGCCTTATCTAGAATCTTTGGGGGCTTATGTTTTGGAATTCAAATGCTTCAGATTCTAGAAAGGTAATATGGTACACATAATGTATGTTCAGTAAAATGCCAGTGGGGGTCTGGGGTGCGCTAGTCAAATACATGAACATTGCTGCAAAGAAAGGTATGAGTAATGACAATAAATTGGACACTCTCCATTGAGAGTTTTGCTGCTAAATGAATTATAAATCAACTTTTGCTTTCAGCTTTCAGAGTATTTTTGGGATTCTGGGAAGGCAGATAAGTGTCTGTGGGTTGTTGGGAGGTTTAAATACTATATGTAAAGCATTTACTATGGCCTGGTACACAGCACTAGTGTAGTCTGTTAATAATATGACATAGTTGACTTAGAGAAAAGAATTCCCCTCAGTCACGTCTCTCTCTCTCTCCTTTTCCCACTGCCCGATTTCATCTCTCGGGGAAGCCACGGGGCCTGTCCCCACACAGGAAGGGTGTTTCGGGTCCTGCCAGGGAACAGCAAATGACCTGGGAGAATCCACTGGCCCAGTTGTTGCCAGCTCCTCCTCCGTGCTCTGACAGGTAGATGTTCTCTGGGTTGTAGAGCTTGGCGTAGGGGGAGTTGAGGATGGAGTGGATCACCCGGGGCTCCAGGTCCAGCAGCACAGCCCTGGGGATGTAGTGCTCATCGTCTGCCTGTCAAAGGGAGTCCGGGAGGGGGCCCACTCAGCAAAGGCCTGCCCAGTCCTCCGTCCTCCCAACTCTGGCTCCTGCCTGCCCTCCCTCCTTAAGCCAGCCGCCCTGGCCCCTGTGCCCAGAGGATTTCTCAGCACCAAGCCTCTGCCCTGCCCTTCAGGACCCCTGGGCAACTGCAGGTTCTGGCCAAGTAGTTGGAAGCACCTGGTAGAAAAAGACGTCCTTGCGGTCAGTGCCCTCGGTGGCGAATTCCTCCACGATGCCCTCGGGGCTGATCCCATGCTCTGCGCACAGTTGTTTCCAGAACTCGAACCCAACTGGGGGGAGGGTGGACGGGGAGAAAGAGGATATCTGGGTCTGGGCAGGTTCCAGCTAGGAGCTGGGGGACTGAGCACCTGGGTCCAGGGATAGGAAGTCAAACTTCAGGAGTCTCCCATGAGAGAGGAAAGGGCTGTATGCCAGAGGCTGGGCAGGGGAAGGCCCCTCGGGGCTGGGTAACTGGACACTGGGTGAGGCATGTCCGCCCTGACAATTCTGGGAAGGGCATATGGGAGTCTAGGGTTCCACACTGAAATCCCACTTAATCTAGGGAGCCTGGCTAGTGGAGGGGCCGGAGGTTCGCTCACTCTGATTGCCGCACTGGCCCAACTGTAGGGTGATGATTTCCCTCGGCATCTCTCTCTTCCAGCACCGGCGCTGCAGCTGCTCCTGCTAGCAAAGCGGCCGCCCGCCAGCCCGCTCACCGCACGACGCAGGCGCCAAACGACCCGCTCCGCCCACAAACTTTCTCCGCTCCAATGAGAAGTGAGAGTTCTGGCGATGGCACTTCCTTATTCCTTTGGCTTCAGTCATGCAAACTGCGCGTGCGCAGCTCCTGATTGGGTTTAACGCTCGGGAGACGGACGTACTTTGACGCAGCGCTCTTTCCTCCAGGTGGTTGCCAGCGAGAGCCCTTGCGCAGGCGCAGTGTCAAGGGACACCACCTCCCCCGCCGAATTTCGCGTCTGCGCAGTTGGTGTTATTGTGATTGTCAAGCCGCGCGGCCCCGGATGTGGTGGCTGCCGGGGGCAGATGGCGGAGGCAGAGGGGGTGGCCACGGTCCCAGGCCCAGCTTCGAGGCCGACTTTCCGGGGCCGCGGCGCTATGTCAGGCTCCTTGGAGAGGGACCAGCAGGTTGAGGCGGCGCAGCGGGCCCTGGTGGAGGTGCTGGGGCCTTACGAGCCTCTGCTGAGCCGGGTGCAGGCGGCACTTGTTTGGGAGCGGCCAGCCAGAAGCGCCCTGTGGTGCCTGGGGCTGAACGCGGCTTTCTGGTGAGAAACTGGACCCTCGGAAACCCTGCGAGGCGGGAATGCGTCAGGTTTCTCTAGGGCTGCACCTCTCGCCTCACCTGTTTTCTCCGCCGCATTGGCTCCTTCCTGATCTTCCTTCACTTCCTCCCACTCCATCCCGCCGGCAGCCTTTGGCCCCGCAGTTCTCCGCAGGGCCTTCCAGTTGTCTTCCTTGTTTTACCTCCTCCCGCACCCTCGCCCCGCACATCTGGCCGGAGCTTCTGGTAACATCTGGAGCCTCCCGCTTGGGCGAGGGCGCCTCATTTTAGCCGGGGAAAGCTGGGTCCCTTTCAGGCCATCGCCTCCTTTCTCTGGTCTGCTCACAGGTGGCTTGAGGACTGTCTCCGGAGATGTCAGCAGTCGTTCTTGGGGCAGAGGCGGGAGGCGGGAGGCCTGGACCGGGTGTCCAGAGGTGCGCTGAGTGAGAAAACACGCCCGCGCGGTGTGGAACGGAGTGAGCACGGGTGGATGTACTTTCGCCCACTCAGGGAAGTTTGTGAGGTCTGAGGGTCACCAAGAGCCTCCGAAACTGCAACTTGAAAGTTACAAGCTTTTAAAGAACAGTTAGGAAATAGTGATGGTGAGATTTCACCCTTTTGGAAGGCACTTAGGATTGCCACGCCTCCCTGTCCCAAGGAGTTAGAGCGGCATCTTTAGCCATTAGAGGCAAGGAAACGTAGGGTGTCTACAGTGTGTGTGAGTTTTCCTGCGCTGGAAAAGGGGGGACTGTAAATATACTTTAAGAATCTGCTCTCTGAAAATGGGGGGACTGCTGCTTCCCTCAGTTGTCATCACCTAAAGGGGACTTAGGTTTTCATAGGATGTACCAAGGATCTGGGGAAGTGTAATTGATCAGGGAACTGAGGTATGTGTGTGTGTGTGTGTGGGGGGGGGGTCCTACCGCTGAATGAAATAAGACTGTTCTGGATAAGCCTAAAACAGAACAAGGTATGTGTTTCCAAATTTTTTGTTTTTGCTCAAAATAGCTTTCCTCTTAAAATTCTTGGTTTTAAAACCAAAACATTTCTTATCCTTTCTCTGAAAGAAGATTTTCAGTCAGCTGTAGCAAAACATTTTCCAGTTCATTGTCAGGAAGACACAATGTTTAGCTATTAAATTAATCCTCTCACAGTTTGAAGGAGACTCGGGTTAAAGTTGTCACAGTAGCCTCTGCCATTTGTTGCTTCCAGAGTCTAGCAAACTCGATGATAAACTTTTTTTTTTCTTTTTCTTACAGCAGTCTTCATTATTGGGGTGGGGTGGGGTGGGTGGGGGATAGTGCTTCTTCCTAGATCCCCAGGTACCTACTTCTCTCCTGTTGTTCTCTGTCAGAAACCCGTAACCTCATTCAGAAGTGTTTACCCAAATGGCTGTTTCTTTCTTTCTTTCTGCACCCCCATCCCAATCCCAAACCCCAGACCATCCAGTCAAAACTTCATTTCCTACATTGGGATTGTACTCATAGAAAAAAAAGTTGTCCTCAATAAACCAGTTTTGTATCAAAGTATGACTGGCTGATCTATAAAGGAATCCTGATAAACCAAGGATTTATTAGTGCACATGGGTTGGTAGCATGTAAGTTATTTTTGGAGGGGACTTTCTACATGCCCCTTGCCTCAGAGCTTTTTGAAGTAGAATGCAGGTAGAGGTCTACATATAAAGAATTGCTCTGACTGAGACACATCTTTAAATGTTACAGTGTTAGCCTTAATTTGTTCACCCCCAACCGTGTTACTTAATTTTATTATGCTATATTTAGAATCTCACTCAGATCCCCCCTTTCCTACTCCTAGTCTCTCTCTTTTTTTAAAAAAATAAATTTTTATTGATTTCAGAGAGAAAGGGAGAGGGCGAGAGAGAAACATCGATGATGAGAGAATCATGGATTGGCTGCCTCCTGCACGCCCCACATTGGGGATCAAGCCCGCAACCCAGGCATGTGCCCTTGACCAGAATCGAACCTGGGACCCTTCAGTCCACAGGTGGATGCTCTATCCACTGAGCCAAACCGGCTAGGGCCCTACTTCTAGTCTGTTAAAGCATTGTTGTGATTGGTCTTTGTCTCTTGGTAGCTTGCCTGCTGTGTATCCAGAACATTCCCATCACATTCTAGGTAGGTGGGAGAGAGATATAGCAAAATGAGGGTATGACTCCTGGTATCTTGCCTGCTGTGTATCCAGAACAGTTCCTCTTGTTACATTCCCATCACATTCTACGCAGGTGGGAGAGAGATATAGCAAAATGAGGGTATGACTCTTGATGCTGAAAACAAATGGGTATGCCATTTATGGCGAGTACAGAATGACTGGTAGTATTAAGGCCCCAGAAGCTAAGGTAGATTGGCATTGGAGTTCATAGGATTCTTTGTTTTAGTACCAGTAAATGTGCTTCCTGGAAGGTAGTTTGAGGTTTAAAATGAAAGTTAGACTTCACATTCTAGTAGCATCGTATTGAATGTGGATGTTGACATTTCACTTTAAATGTTGAAGAGTGGCTGTTTAATTTTGGACATTTTATTTTATTTTTTAAATATGTTGTGTGTGTTTTTTTTAATTGATTTCAGAGAGAGGAAGGGATTGGGAGAGTGGGATAGAAGCATCAGTGATGAGAGAGAATCTTGATTGACTGCCTTCTGCATGTCCCTTACTGGGGATTGAGCCTGTAACTTGGCACACACCCTGACTGGGAATTGAATTGTGACCTCCTGGTTCATAGGTCGATGCTCAACCACTGAGCCTTGCCAGCCGGCCATTAGACATTTAAAATGTTTAGGAACCACGAGGATCATTGGCTCAGGACAGAGAAAAATCAAATCTGAAATATTTTTTGTTATTTGTTTGTGTTTTTCTTTATCCTTGCCCAAGGATTTTTTCTTTTTCTCTACTGATTTCTAGAGAGAGTGGGAGGGAAGGAGGGAGGGAGGGAGGGGGGGAGAGAGAGACAGAGAAGAGAGAGAGACATGGATGTGAGTGAGACACATCGCTTGGTTGCCTCCTGGCATGCCCCTACTGGGGCTGGAGAATCTGCAGCCAAGGTATGTGATCTTGACTGGGAATTGAATCCTCAACCCTTCAGTTCGAGGGCTGGCGCTCTAACCACTGAGCAACTGGTCAGGGTGATTATTTGTTTTGAACAATGATATATCACTAACTGAGGTGTGTTTTTTAAAATACATTTTGAGGCATTAGAAGATTGGGTAGGAGTACAAAAAAAATCAGAATTCAGGAAGGTGATTTAGCCTTTAAAGTTTTCTATGCTCAATGAAGGTTTTTCTGTACCTGTGAGTGTGCCCTCTTATATTTTAATAAAGAAAAAACAACATAAAAGATAGAGAGAGATGTAGATGACTTGCCACTACAGTATTCCAAGGCTTTCACTCTTTTTAAAAAAAATGTTTTTTTTTCAGATTTCAGAGAAATTATGGTGATCGCATCAGAGATCTTCCAGCCCATTTTGCTTCTGGTCACTGATAAAAAAAAAAAAGATAGAGATGTAGATGACTTGCCACTACAGTATTCCAAGGCTTTCACTCTTTTTAAAAAAATGTTTTTTTTCAGATTTCAGAGAAATTATGGTGATCGCATCAGAGATCTTCCAGCCCATTTTGCTTCTGGTCACTGATACATTATTATCACTAGGATAATAACAGTCATGTCAGGCCTTCTTTCCAATTGCTTGTCTTTTTTTGTTTTATTTTTTCTTTCTCCCCCAATTGCTTGTGTTTTCATTATCCTCAACATCACCCATAAATTAAATGAGTGATTTGGGAGAAGAATATGAGTCAGCAAGAGTGTATCTTAAAAAAAAAAAAAAAAAAAAAAAAAGTGCATCCTGACAGGATCAGAAAAGAACATGTTTGAGTAACTTTTTAGTTTAACTCAAATCTAGGAGATAGGGGAAGACAAAGGAGCCCTGGAAATGTGTGAACATATGGTTCAAGGAGGGCTAGATGACTCTGAACCACTTTCCAGTTTTCAGCATTCTTTGATTCTAGGTCATCTTTATTATTTTTTAAAATTTATATTTTTTATTGATTTTCAGAGAGAGATAGAAACATCAATGATGAGAGAGAATCATCGATGGACTGCCTCCTATAGGCCCCTTACTGGGGATCGAGCCCACAACCCAGGCATGTGCCCTGACAGGGAATTGAACTGTGACCTCCTGGTTCATGAGTCAACGCTCAACTCCTGAGCCACACAGGCCAGGCTCTAGGTCAAACTCAAAGGCTAACATGGGCCAAATAAATAAGGCATGCGGCCCACGGCCCGCGAGTTTGACATGCTTGCTCTAGGTGGTCTTTAAATTGCAGATACTGATTTAGAGCAATCTACAAGTTGATTCCCTGTTGGGATCTGCTTTTACAGTCACTAGCCTGAGTTAACCATATATCATATTCTAGGGGATATTATGGAATATATTGTTTTCACAATTGAAAAAAATAACAAGGTCTTCTCCCCTCCCCCCAAAAAATCTATCCAAATTTAAAGATGACCCAAAAAGTGATTAAAAGTATATAGCAATTCTGATTTAAAAGGTTAGAATTTGAGTAAAAAACAATAGTGAGGAACGGGAAGTGGAAGGGAGGGCCCAGTTAAGTAGAGACATTTGTTCTGTGAAAAAAATTTACACATCAAATTTCAGATGAAATCTATTGAGCAAATGTTTCTGATGATAGTCTTTGGAGGGTTTTTGTTGCGCTTGGTAGCCAAGAAGACTTCCAAGGATGCTTTGGGGTTTTTTTGCCTCTCTTTTGCTATCAGTTTATTTTTATTTTTTTATTTTTAGAAAGAGGGAGACAGTAACATCGATGTGAAACACGTCGATTGGTTGCCTACTGCACGTGCCCTGACCAGGGCCTGGTGGGGAGGAGCTTGCAACCAAGGTACATGCCCTTGACTGGAATCGAACCTGGGACCCTTTGATCTGTAGGCTGACACTCTGTCCACTGAGCCAAACCGGCTAGGGCTTGCCATCAGTTT